CTAAGATCTGAATCCCTGCTCTAAAAGGAGATTGGATTGATTTTCAATCTATTAAGAATCTATTCAATCTATTAAGAACTGTGAGATGGAAGTAAATCCAGATTTCTTGGAGTTCTGGTAATACATCATTCCTCTCAGTCTCACAGCTCCAAATCAGCTTCATGATGGAATGAGGCAGGGAGAGAGAGCCTGACAGGATCTGGGATGGTTAAAGCCATGGAGCCACCTGGGGAACAGTGTGTGGATTCTGCAGGAGGATTTAGCTGATGGTCTGAACTGGGCAGTGTCTGGAACAACAGAGAAGAATCACAGTAATTGATGGCTCAGGCTAATCTGGAGAGTGAAATACTTGTGAACCAAATTGCACTCATTCTTCTGGGAGCTGTGAAGTGAGAGAGATGGGGTGTGTGCAGTTCAGGGCTGCTCATGGAGGCACAGCAGCTGAAAGGAGCAGCCTGTGGGTGGCTCACTAAAGGGAGCAGCAGTACAAAGTCAGGACATGCTGAAAGCATGGAAGAGAGTGGCAAAGTCACCCTCTGTGAGGGAAAAGGCCAGCTTCCAAGCTACCCGGGAAGTGTTCTTTTTCTGCTGCTTGCTTTGTTGTAAATACACAAAAGTATTGTCATTTACTTGTGGTTCCTTCCAGTAAGAAAACCTCACTGTGTGAAGCCATCATGTGGTTTCAGCAGTCCTCTGGCAAAAGGCACACTATGTACAGCTGAGAGGATCTTAGCTAAATTATATATCCAGCATCAAAGTGCAATGAAGAGAGAATCAATTGTAAAGATTTAGGGAAAAGCAGGGGGGGTTAGGACAACTGCAGTGTGCTGAGTGTTGGTGCATTAAAGAAAAAACTTACTTGGACAGGAATACATAAAACAGATTTTATATGTATTTTCAGCAGCTGTGAATTAATCTGGCTGGCATAATTAATTCTCAGGTGGTCATTGTTGTTATGAACTTGGAACTGTAAATGAAAGAGCTGAAAGCAGCTTTTAAATGAGCCATTTCTTCCTGCAGCCATGGACATATTTCTTACTGTACCGAGCATGGCTTTGCTGCTGCTCTGATTTTTACCCTTGAGTCAGTTACCTTCCCGTCTGCTTCCTCGTGGTCATTGTTAATAGAATGGCTCTTTGATTACAGAAAATTGGTTGATACACTTCTCTAATGAAAATGCTAGACAAATGCTCCTTCTTGGAACTGACATCAGGAATGTTATACAAGACATGCTTAAATATGCTGGCAGCTGCCCTGAATGTAATGAAATCATGGAAATTAGAAGTATCGCTCTCTCTGTGTGGCCAGCTCAGGACTGTTTTCAGTGTGTTACCCAGTTTTGCTGTGAATTTTAAAAGGAATCACTTTTCATTAAATTTCCCTGGGACATTCCTTATGAACTTGCTTATAATTTCTACAATCAGAAGAATGACCCTGATATCCTAAGGTATTACTCCTTTGTTTTGGATTGCACACAGTTCCTTGTGCCTGCATCCCCAGTACCACACTAAATCATTCCCCCTGCAGCAGAGAGTTTCCAATCTTCAGAAGATCAATAACTTTTCTGGAAGAAAGGATGAAATCCTATTCCCACTGCAGCCAGCAGTAAAATTCCCACAAACTTAAGTGGTTTGGATTTCACAGGCAGTTTTTAGTCTGCTCTTGTAAGATACATTAGTTAATCCTTAACACACTCCTAGTACAGGAGGTGTCTAAATGCAGGGAAGTTGCAGAGGAGCAGTGGTGTACCTTGGGTTTCAGTAGCAGCTCTTTATGCAGGGATCACAGAGCAGCTTCTGAAAGACAGGTGAGACCACAGCAGAGTGCAGGGGATGGATATTTTTAATCTCCTGAAGTGCAGGGAGCAGAAGGGAAGGATGTCTGTGGCTGTGTGGAAGATTACATGGAAGCACCACCCTGGCTCCCACACTGGTTTCTCTTCATCTGTGGTTTTTTCACCTGTTGCTTCCTTGTAGCCTTGCTGTGTTTTCATCACATACCCTGATTTAGAGTTTTCCCAGATGAATTCATTTCCTTTAGCTGTTTTTTAGCATTCTAGCTTCTTCCTTAGCTTCTTTGTTGGTGGTTTACGGAACTCCCTAAAGTGATTGCATTTGCATTCCTTTGAAGTAGTAAGATTCCTTTCCTGTCAACAATTAATAGCAGTATTAAGCAAGAGTCAACTGACTAAAAACTTAGTCCAGGTTCATGTGCTGTCACTTAACACTTGGTGTTGGAATTAGTGAGTTCTGGCTTGGGATGAGGAGCTGAAAGGGCTGGGGCTGCCTTGGCTGCTGGGAAAGGAGGCATGGAAACTTGTTTGAACCTTCTTCCTTCTCCTTTCCTGCAGTGGTCAGAAAGCTGGGAGGGTTTGCTCCTGTGTTTGATTTGGGTTTATTCATTGAGCAGACTTTGAGTGCTGTAAGAAAGAGTGGCAGGGGCTTGGGCTGAAGATGGAGTCACTGTGAGGCTCAGAGAGACAAGAGCTGTTGTAAAAGAATGGCCTGGAGGTGGAAAAGGGCATCTCTGTCACTTGTGATGCCCAGCCTTACCAGGCAACCTCACTTCTGGCTGCTGCTGCTGGCACCGAGCAGAGGCTGCTGAGAAAAGAAAGCTTTTTAATGCTTGGAGGTGTCCTGGAGGGCACAGAAATCTGCTGGAAGCAGATTTCCATCTGCATGATGCGATGCAAACAAGATGGTTTCTGGCATGAAAAGCCTTCAGTTGAGACATCAAATCATTAGAAATACTATGGCCAGAAGCTTTCATAATAAATTACTGTAAAGTCATGAAAGATTGATCTTTTTTGATTTCAGAGAAAATAAATCAACAGTATGAAGTCAGCTCTGTTACAGTTTCAAACAAGAGACTCTTACCCTTTGCCTTAAAGATCAGAGACAAATTACTATTTTTACTTTACATTCTCTTGATGAGGATAATGATAAACATCTGTCACTTTGCTGCTTAGCCAGTTAGGAATCTTACTGCAATCTGTAATTTAAAGAGTAAAAAAAAAAAAAAGGAAAAAAAATACTTGAATAAACTGCACTTTATATAGACAGCAAAGAAGAAAAGAAAGAGAATAGATGTGAAATACAGGGGAACTGGGGAGAGGGCATTTTTGGTCTGCAGTTACTTGGCTGAAATCTGCAGATATATGATAGATGTATGATTTTTTATTGAATTGGTATTTCACAAGGAAAATTACCATTTTTTTTTTTTTCTTTAGACATGGAGGCTAAGGAAAATAATCTTTGCACTGTGATTTTTGGCTATATGCAGTTTATTAACAAAAAGATTAAGGTTTATAAGGTAGTGCCTACCTGTGCTACAGCATTGAAAACCCTGTTTTCATCAAGAGCTCGTTCAGCATCCTCCACACTCAAAAGATTTTTAGGAAGCACTCTAATTATTTTTAAAGATCAGCTGCTTTTCCAGTAATTCACCTGTACTTTTGCAAGCTCTTTTACAAACACTCTATTTTGTTTCTACATGGTACATGGGGTTTTATTTCTTAACAAAACTCAAACACATCACAAGTACACCATTTCATTTAGGCTGGACTGCCCAAGCTGTATAAAAGGTTACAAGTGGTCTATCTGCCAGTGCTTTGTGAGCAGAAGCAGACCCTGCACTAGGACATGAAACCAGGAATCCCTTCTTGGCCCAGTTTCCTGCAGGGAGAAAACTCTTTGGTGTGACATGTTTGCATATTTAGCACTAATGGCCTTTCACTGGTGGGTTTGATACCGATCTCAGCTGCTCCAGAAATCTTTAAAGCACCAGGCACGTGCCAGTTTTAGCAAAAAGCTCTGTTGTAAATGGAGCTGTGCTGGCAGGGCTGATACAGAACTCGTTCTTCTCATGGGCTTCTTCAGTTTTTGCAGTGCTTTCTGTTTCTTTGTGTTCTTCACGTGCAAGGCCAGGCTGGATGAGCAACCTGGGCTGGTGGGAGGTGTCCCTGCCTGGAAGGAGATGAGCTGCAAGGCTACTTGCAACCCAAAGCACTTTGTGACTCTAGGATTTTATGCTTCTAAATACCCACAGAACAGTTTTATATTTTTATAGTTTGTGCTAATAATGATCTGAGGGTTGTTTTCAGGATGAAGTATTACATCAGAGTTTGGGGAACGTTGTTCTTTGTACTGTCTGGGTAGAAATTCCATTCTTTTGGCATCTTAGAGCCTCAGACAGCAGTCTGATTTTCACCAAAAAGGCTACTACTTTTTTTTTTTTAAGGTTTTCCTATATTTATACAGGCCAGACTGAAGCAAAGTATAGGCCTTTTAGCTTCCAGTTAAAGTTCCTGGTATTTAATTAGGTCAGCTGTTTACATACAAATAAGGTTTATTTCTGTCCAATGAAAAAGAGACCTCAAATACATAATCCAGCCTTGAGCATTGGAAGCAATGATGCTTTTGCTGTTATCTTTTATAAACTCTTTGTTTATATAGGTGCTATTCACATCTAACAAGTCTGAGACTGATCTCAGATTTTTTGTGACAAAATTTGTCACAAATGGGTCAGCCTTAAATAAGAGGGGTGGGTTTAACCCACAGAAGGGTAAAACTCAAAATCCAGACTTGTGGTGCTGCTTTCTTGCATGGGTCCAGCTGGCTGGATGTGAATGGTAAAAGATTTGATAGTAAGTATTGCAGTAAGTGATCTGAGAGAATCTCTTGATGTGACATTTACCACTGTGAGTCTTTACTCTTTATTGTCTTTACTAAACTTTCTTTAACATAAAGTTAGAAATTTGTGTGGAAATACATACATGTACTTTGTGCAAAAAGTCTCATTTGGCATTAAAGATAAGTTCATGGTGCTGAATACTAATGTGAAACAGGCCAAGACTTCATATTTTAACCTGTGGATAGTCTTTGTATACAGAGTTATGTTGCTGGATTACTACAGTTTAAGTCCAGGAGTTTTTCCCCCAATATATTTCAAGTTTACTGAAATTTGGAAGAATTTTTTTTATTTCTTTTTCTGCTTTGTAGACTGAAACTGAAGAGAATGGCCAAGCAGATAATTTTTCAATGGATCCCCAGCTGGAAAGACAGGTGGAGACAATTCGAAATCTTGTGGACTCCTACATGTCTATTATTAACAAATGTATCCGAGATTTGATACCGAAAACAATCATGCACCTCATGATCAATAATGTAAGTAGAATCCATGGTTCTAAATTAGTTCAACGTGTCAAATTTCTCACTCTCAAACACACCTCTGGAATAGAGCAGCAACAGCAGGTACTAGAGAGAAGAATAAATGTCACATTTGTAGACAAAATATTCCAGTATTCCATAGTACTTGGAAGTTCTGCAGCCTTCTCAAAGGCTGGCACATTGCCTTGAGTGCTTATCCCAAAATCCTAAAGACTGAATTAATTTAATTTTAATCAGAACATAAGTTATTATTTAAAGGTAACTCGAGGTGGGGGTGGTTTTGATATAACAGGAAAAGGAATTGGGAGCTCCGTGTGGGCAGCCTGTGAGAGCAGCAGAACAGAGTTGTGCTTCCCTTGATTTTCAATCTTCAGCCTTTGTCACGGGCTCATAAAGCAGTTCTTATTTTGTTTAGGTTTCTTTATATTTTCAGGTTACCATTTTCAAGGAATAAATCTGGAAGCTTTTGACACTGTTGTTTAGATAAGCAGATGTGGTTGGTTGATTTATTGTGTGTGTCTTTCTTAGATCTGAAGATTATTTGGTTAACAAAACAGCTTTGAGATACCATTGTTTTTCCACTGCAGTGGGATCTTGGCAGAGTTCTGAATGGACCTTGTTGAAAACTAAGCTTAATATTAGTGCCCCTGCTGCCATATAAATTACTAGTGGGAAGCACAGCCCCTGCTAGTTCTGAGCAGCACCGTTTCTGAGAGGTCATCAAACCAATCGGCCTTTACAAGTGCAATATGCTGTGAGGCAAATGTGATTAGAAGGTAGCATTTACTTTTGACTCAGAGCCACCTCTAGCCTTCATCTGATGGATTTCATTAGCCCTGTGGAATTTGTGTTGCACTTAAGAGTTAGGTGGTTGGACAGGAAATTTCAGTGGGATTTCTTGGCGTATTTAATATGAGCAGAATTTTTGCACGAGGGCAAGAGATTTTTCATTAACTTCTTCAGGTTTAGGGGAGTCAGGATCTAGGTAATGCTCCAGTTATGGGTGAAGTTCTAAAAAAAACCATGGGAACAATGGAGCTGCCCTTTTTTCTGGAAATCAGCCATGCTGTAGATTTCATAAATTGAGTGTGTGTCCTCACTGCTCTTTTCAGATCACTGCTAGCAGCTTGCTGCTTTGACTTAGCCTATCTCCAGTGCCCTTGGAAAAGGCTGGGGTTTAGCTTTCATTTCATAAACAGCAGAGCTCAGTGAGCAGTTGCTTTTGAAAGCTTACATTAAATTTTCTGCCACTCACCTCCTCATCTGGAATCATTTAGGGGTCTCTGAAGTGTGTGCATCCCTCAGAAGTAGATTACTGGAAGATTTCGTGCTTTCAGTCTCATCAGCTGTTGGTTGACATTGATAAAGCCTGCCAGGCTGGCACACAGAAACCACACACTAAAACATCAGCTACATTTCAGCTGACCTCATGGTCCCAAGCTGCATTTGGGCTTCCTAGTGAGCTGAGGCCTACACCTCCATCCTAGAGTTTAAATCTGTGGCAAAGAAAATATTTGAAAGAGCTGTGAAGAGTGACACTACAAGCATTAATGAATTTGTTTCTGTACAGCATAGGCAGTAAAATACCATATTGAATACAATAAAAATAGCAATTTTTAAAAATCAGGGTTATTGAAAAGAGAAAGAAATGGTTGAATTAAGAGTGTTGAGCCCTGCCAAAAGGTTATGCAAAGGTCTGGAAAGGAGCAGAGCTGTGATGGAAGGTGGGTCCTGTTAAGTTCTTTGGAGTATTCAGAAGTCCAACCCATCCACCAGGAGTTAAGTGAAAACACCCTCCCTCCCCCTTAATGAACATACTCTGTATTTTCTGCTGCCCCATCATGTTGCCTCCAAACCTCTGGAAACAAATCGATCCCAAGGAATTTGTTTCCATGACAATTGCAACCTCCCAAGTTTTCCTAGAACTTCCTTTCCACTTTGTGGGCCCATAAACAAGTAGTTATAATTCAAGGAAAGTATCAGATTCAAACTCAATGTAGAGAAAATAATTAGATGCTGTCCCTGAGCATAGTTCGGGGCCTAAGCCTACATTATTGTATTCCAAGTACATCCCTTGTTCTTCCCCTAGGCTGGATGTTGATTACATTAAAGGAAAATACATCTACCACACAGAATTGCATTGAGTTACCATTACCAATTCAAACATGCCCAAACTAAACACACGTACACAAATTTGTAGCTCATGGTGCCTTGGTATCCTGGATTATACAAGAAGGGTGGTCTTAAGAGTAGTCAATGAATGCTCCATAAACAGTGCTGATAGTGAGCTCAGCTGGGGAGAAAAACTCCAGAGGACTTGTTAGTGGCAAGCTGCAGCTCAGGGAATGGGTTGTGTTTGCATTCGAGGCAGTGCCATGTGTTGTCTTCCCCATTCCAGAGTGCCAGGGCAGATCTGGCATTTGGGTGCTTGCTACGGTTCAGCTTTGACTGCAGGCCTGATGTCTGTGAAGGAAAAGGTTTTAAATCGTTCCTGGGAGTCTGCTTTCCAGAGAGGAACAGACACGAGTAAGCATCACTTTCCCTTCCATTTCCAAGCTGGAGAAAGTGGCTCTGGTGGAAGATGTTCCTCTGTCTGGTACAGCACAGGAGGCTGATCCAAGAACCATCCTTAACAAAGCAGTCTTCCCTTTCCAGAGGAGTTCAGGGATTTACTCAAATCCTCTGCCAGTGACAGACAGGGACCTCTCATGATAATTGTCACAGGCTGATTTTTTTCAAACTGTAAGATATTTGTGGTTTAACAATGCGTTTACAATCAGCTCTGGCCTTAATCTAATTTTAGGACTTCTTTTTTTGAAGTGATGCCATTAAAATGCTCATTTCATCGAGCAGAATGTGATGCTGTTTAACTACGATATGTTTTTAATGTGGAGTTTTTGGCAATCACAAGGAAAGTAGTGTACTCTGGCTCTTGATCAGTACCATCTACTGGAAAACAGCGTGAAACTCATGGAAAAGTTTTGCAAGCTTTGCTAAGAATTGGTGCATCTCCTGTCATATGTGAATGGGAACTGACAGCCAAGGCCAGGCAATACGGTTTTGTTTCCCTGTGAGGTCTGTCCTGGCTGCCTGCTCCTTGCTGGTGACCAGGAAGGGTCCCATGCCTGCACTGTCTGACTGCTCTCACTGACCTCTAAACACAAACATTGCCTTAGTCTCACTGTCAGGCTTTAAATCACAAAACTAGCACAAACCCATGTGCGAACGGAGCTCAGGTTTATGTAATCAGAATCCTGGGAATGTATTATCATCAGTATCTCCAGCTCAAAAAAACTTTATGGAGCAAAGCACCAGATGAGAAATAGATCAGAACAGCAACAGAAGTCTCAAGTGCAAGGATTTAGTAGGTCAGCAGTTGGTCTATTTACCACAGTCTTATTTAATCAGAGTACCTCTAGCTTTTTATGTCTCCTAATGTGGCCCAGGTTTCCATAACCAGGGCAGGCATAGCAGGAAATCAATATAGTAAATTAGATTACTTGGAGACTTCTCCCTTCAATTTGAATGTGTGTGGATGGGTTATTCAGAATCTGACAGTCTTGCTGGAAATGAAAGACACTGTCTACAGTAGGGTAAATTGTTGCTAAGAAAGTAATTGACAGGTATGCCATAAAACCTGAAAATTCCCATTCCCTGGGGAATTTATATATGATGGTACTGCCACTTACTTCCCAGTCAGCCCTTTAGAAATGGCCCAGAATGCCAGCTGGCTCCTGGGAGCTGTTGGGAAACCTGTTAGAAATGAACTGTAAGCAGAGGTGTCATCTCAGAGATACAGAATTGCAGAGAACTGGTGTAAGGTAGCGAGAGAAACTGATTTAACCTCCTGCTTCCATTGATCTCCCCCTGGATTTGTTCAGCATTATATTTTCCATAGAGATTTTTATTTCTTTGGTGGTTTGGATTTTTATTTATTTTATTTTTTTGTGTGTGATGAAATAGGTAAAAGAATTTATCAATGCAGAGCTGCTGGCTCACCTGTATTCTTCTGAGGACCAGAACACTCTGATGGAGGAGTCGGCGGAGCAGGCGCAGCGGCGGGACGAGACCCTGCGCATGTACCAGGCCCTGAAGGAGGCTCTGGCCATCATCGGGGACATCAGCACCAGCACGGTCTCCACCCCTGCTCCCCCTCCTGTTGACGACTCGTGGCTTCAGCAGGCACGCAGGTGAGGAGCCTCAAATCTGCATCGGCACCAAATTCAGGACAGGCAGATGGAGTCGGCATCAGGAGCTCCCTCCCTGCCTGTCTTTTGGGGAAGATGTTCTTCCAGGTCTTAATGACATCTGTGAGGAAACTGAAAACATTTTCCCATCTACGCCTGTTCTGGGGGATGTTTATGTGAGCACCAGACAGGATATTTGCCTTGCAAAAGATCATCCAGTGGAGTTACAGCTTTTCTGATGCTTCAAATAGCAGCTGCTTCTATCACCCCGTTTGTGTATCCACTTGGCCTCCCTTTGCAAGCTGTTAAAATAATTCAGCATCTCAGGCTCCGTGTCCTAGAAATTCCACTTATCAAAACATTATTAGCACTTGAATAATAAAATCCATTATATTTACCACTCTGCTTGTATGTTGTCAGTGGGAAACACGTGAGACTTAATCGTATGTGATCCTCTGACACTGACAGCAGAGGAAAATGCCAGTAAAAAACATCTGTCATAGGTTTCAACTTTTGTTTAAAGTAAAATAAAATACATCAAAGAGAACCCAAAACCCGAACCCCCACCTTACTGAACTTTTCAAATCTGTGCTATTTCACCAGATCACCTCCTCCAAGTCCTTCAACTCCGAGGAGACCTACACTGAACAATCCCCCAACCAGACCCTTATCTGGCCGAGGACCCGCTCCTGCAATCCCCTCTCCAGGCCCTCAGTCGGGGGCTCCCCCAGTCCCGTTCCGCCCTGGAGCTCTGCCTCCGTTTCCCAGCGCTGACGCCCATGGAGGACCTCCCCAGGTTCCCTCTCGGCCCAGCCGGGCTCCTCCCAGCGTGCCAAGGTAAGAAGTTGGGAGTTGCTGGTGGTGGCGTGGTTCTCTCCCTCTGGCACGACACAGACTCTGAGCCGCTACGTGGGCGGGAAGGCGAGCGCTGTCGTAGAGAAAGTCTTGTGGCAAAGCAAAACTGGGCATTCCCTGCACGGTCAAAAGGGTTTGAGGGAAGGGATTTTAAAATTTTTTAAATTGTTTGAAAAGATAGGGAGATTTCTTTCATTTTAAAAAATTCTAGTCAGTCAGTTGGAAGACCCTGCTTGGCTTACATGAAGAACTCCAGTTCTGGTTGAGAGAAGTCACCTTCCCCCACCAGGAGAGGGACAGGGGTAGAGCTCTTCACTTCTGCCCTTCTGAACCCTCACCAGAGGAAGCAAGGGCTCTCCTGGCAGAGAACAAGAGCAATTCTTGTAGAACCAGTGGAACAAACTGCTGGAGTGTGATTCTTGTCCCACAAGGCCAGTCATTTCCAGTCCCTAGTTGTCTGACAGAGTACATCATATGGTACCAAGCAATTAGTTAAGGAACAAGATTATCTTCAGTGTGTTATTTCCTTTCCTTGCCAGGGCTTTGCATTTAGCAGGACTTTTTAAAGTAGCTTTGCATATTGTATAATTTTCTATGGCATTAACTGCTTTTTTATATAAGTTATATGAATAGAATGTCCTTAATGTTTATTTTCACAATGATGTAATACACATAATCACTTATATATATACATATATATATATAAAAACCTCTGATTCTGAGGGATTCATTAACTTTCTAAATTATGAGAGGCGTGGGCAGATAAGGCAATGTTGGAACAAAGAGGTTTCTCCATTTTTGATAAATTAACTGTTACATTGAAAGTACTCAGTTTGGGGAAAAAAGGGCCAGCTAAATAGGAACAAAAATAAAATGTGCACATTTTCAATTTTAAAAATGGTAATTGAGAAGAAAAGCTTTGGAGGTGAATTTTCTTTTAAATAGGTGAGATCTGTCGTAGTTGTCAGTAACTTAAATTTGAGGCTCAGTGTTTCTAATATAATTACCCTTTATAATAGAAAGCATAAATAAATGAGGTATATCAAAGGAATGAAGTATTTTTATAAATTTGCTATGAAAAGGGCATTGTTGCATCAATGAAGAACTCTTTCACCTTAGTGGATATCCTGTAGCTTGCAGTAGGGACCGCTGGGGACAAACCTGGAATTGCCTTTCCAAACTTAATGCTGGAAGGGAAGAAGCCCAAGGATCATCCCCTCGCTGGGAGAAGCTGGGGCTGAGCCAGAGGGTGCTGGCCCTGCTGTTTCCTCTGTGCCATCAGAGGCCAGATGTGACGCAGGGATGAGGTGCAGTTTGCCAGCTGTGCTGCCAGAGAGAACCACGGCTCCCGACCCCCGCAAACCGGCGCGGCTCCTTCCCCCCGCCCGTCGTGCTCGTGCATGGACGCTGCTTTCCCCAGTGCCTTGCCAAGAGCATGTCTGATGATCATCTTTTTCATGCCAAAGTGATAGGTGGGCTGGAGACCAGAAAGGAATTTTCTAGCACTCAAAAGACACATGGGTAAGCAGCCTGGGAACGACTCGGTTCGGGAGCGCCACTGGTGGCATGAAAAGCAGTGGCGGATAAAGGAGGTCAGTGATTTTAAAATACTGTAGCTGGATACTGAATTGAATGTGAGACTGCCTGACATTTTTGTGGAAAAAAATAATCTGCAATACACATCTTCTGGACTGGATCCTGGTTCTCTTTTTTAGAGCTACGAAAGCCTCAGACAGAAAAAAAAAATCTCAACTGCTAAAGAATGAAGGGAGGGTTTTCACCATTCTGCCAAAACTTCAGGTTTCTCCTGCTGACTAAACCTGGAGGGAGGAAATCTCAGGGAAGGGGCTGCAGGGGAAATCACCTGAGGGGGACAGTGTGGCCAGCTCCTGCGCCTATTAAATGTTTCTCTTGAGCCCTGGAATTTCAGCTACGCTTGGTCTGGTTTTAATAACAGCCTTTGCAGGATCATAGGAAATTGACTCAGAAAATGGGTCTGAGATATTAAAAGGGAAAAAAGGAGTTTTGAGGAAGAGTTCTTGTGGAAACTTGAGCTTTTTCTGTGACTTATTTTTGAACTGGGGCTCTGTGCTCTGATTGTTCCACCACCATTTTCTGCAGTGATTCCTTGAAGTGTTGGGATCTCTCTTATCTAGGGAAATAGTTTAGTTTAGCTTCCTGAGGAGAAAGTAGTCTTTTTAAAGTTTATCTCATTTTCCAAAGGAGCTTTCTGTTGCAGCCCCTGTCCCTGTCACATGGAGCTGAAAATCCTGACATGCTGAAGAAATACAAAGTTCCCATTTTCTCCTGTTCTGCCTTAAGAAAAAAAGATCATTTTCAGGGGTTAAGACTTGGATTGTGTCCTTGTCCAATGAACAGATTTAGCACACGTTTGGTGAGGAAAATTTGGCACCTTACTGTGAGATACAGCCCCTGTCATTGAAAACACAATTTTTTTCTTCTACTTTATTAGCATTTAATCAAAGGAATTGTACAGAAATGGTGAGCTCTCAGCATTTTCTCACTGTTCCTCCCTTAATGTACAGGGAAAGGAAAAGAGCTAGGAGAGCAGGAAATCATTTTCTTCCCTGCTTCACTCTGATTCTAAAGCTGGTTTGGGTTATGTGCTCCGAATATTTCTGTAAGGAAACAGAAACTATTTGCATGATACATGCCTCTTTTAATTAATCCCACTTGAGGTGGGTGGATCTCTCCCAGCAAAGCCTGTGAGTAAAGGCCCCTGGCTTTAAGGGCTTGATGCCAAAGCATATATGATTTGTGAAATATTCCCCACTGCCAGAATCTGGATTATTACCCCTCTCTCTTAAAAGGCTTCAGTAGTATTTTGAAAGAAAATGCAGCTGTGTGCTTGCTTTGGTGAGACGGCTCTAGGCAGGCACCAGAAGCACTTCAGCTTACCCTGATGTGTGCTTGCCTGCCTGTGTGGAAAGGCTGATCTCCACCAATTTAAGTTCTACTGTGGATGCTTGATATTTAGCTTTTGAATGTCCTGAATGGGAATCTCAGCTTGGCACGAGGAAAACAATTGAATTGGCAATGTTTTTTCTGCTGGCAGCAAAGGCCCTGGTGTTTGTGGGGTGGGTGGAAGGGTGCTGCCCTTTTCTCCGTGTCCTGCTCTGAATCTTGTGGATTCACCAAGGCTTTCCCAACCAACAGATGGTTCCTCACTTTGTCACTGAGACAAACGTGACCCCCCAGGATGTGAAGCCCTGGAGCACTTGTGTCACCCTCAGGCAGGCTGGGGCTGCTCCCCAGGGCTGGGGCTGCTCTTTACACCTGAGGCAAGACATTATTCTCTCTTGGGGAGAGAATTCATGTTGTGCTGCTCACATACTGTCCCTAGAATTTACTCCCACCCACAGCCAGCCAGCAGGGAAGGGCTGGTGGCAGCTCTGCAGCTCCCCTTTGTAATGCCACCGAGGCCAATTCCATCACTGCTGTGTTGGTAGCTAATCTAGATGTAAGCCATCATTACATATTTCTGCCAGACTGGCACAAAAAGGTACTTTTTTACCTGACAGTAATTAGAAATTTTCAGACCAAGTCAGGAGCAGTGCAGAAAGCATTACTGGCTGACTTCTCCCAGCCCACAGGCTCCCACTCAGCTCTTTGATTGCCAAATATCAACCATTCATGAAGTTTTCTCTGATGGATTTTTATGGATTAGAGTTCTTTGAAAAGATTTCATGAAATGTCTAACCCTGTGCATTGAATGATAAGGGGATTCTGTGCAAAAATTGCACATGATCCTCTGAATAAAATCTGTCATAGTGCATAGGCATATAAGGCCAGAAGGGTTATCCTGCCTGAGCCTGGGAATCTTCTTTCTCCTGAAAGTTTGACCTTGCAGCCTTAAAAGCTTACTACTGTATTTTTTAATGGAATATAAACTGCAATCAAATAGTCGTTGCACCAAATTCTTCTGGCAGGATGAGTGAGAGCCCACCTTAGTGTTTGCATGCTGACTTGGATGATCTTAATCTGAACACCCAAGTAGGAGAGCACAGCTCTCTCTCTTCTTTGAATGGATCTTTGGCAGAAGTTATAGTCAAAAAGTAAAGTCTGCAATTAGGATTGTTTCATGCAGGCAAAGAGACATAAGTGTTACATGGACAGAATTCAAAATCCTGCTGAACCTCAGGAGAAAAGAAAGCCAAAGAATAATTTAATTTCATTCTTCATCTCATGTCTGTGAGCAAAAGAATATACAGCTACACAGGCAAAGCCAGAGCCCCTCCCAGGGGGGAATACTGCCCTTCTCTAGTCAGTATGTTTCCAACTCTGCCTGTCTGAGGACCCCAAAATCACAAGACTTACGAGAATATCAGTTATTATTTCTGTGATTTCTGCCCAGAGGGAAGACAGCCCTGTGTAATTTGTTACCAGTCTAAAGTACATCTCTTGTTGAAATGCACACCCAGTAATATGTTACTTCTGCTGCTGGCTGCTTCAAGCAGCAGCAGACTCCATTTATTTTCTCTTATCTCTTAGAAAGAAGCTCTGCATTTTCCCCTCCTCCACTGGGTCCTTTTTCACTATTTCCCCTTTTTTCTCAGCCTTTCCCTCTCTGTCCCTTTCTTGACCATCCTGTTTGCTTCCTCTTTCACCTCCTCCTTTCACTTGGTTTCCTGCCTGGTACATTTGTCTCCCTTCCCCACATATTCCTTCCTTTCCTTCTCACCATCTTGTCTTGGTTTCTTTCCAACTTATCCGTTCCCTGCCACCTTTGTAAATCTATCACCTTGGCATTTCTGCCTTTTAGAGTTTTTCAGACAGTTTTTAAACCACAGAATGCAATATTTGGCAATCTTTCTTAGCAGCAGCCTGGTGGCAGTGGCTGTGACAACCATCAGGAACATGAGCTCCACTGCTTGGGGCAGTCACATTGCCAGGTGCAAACCTGGGCTCATCTTGCAACTTTGGTCATGGAATAGAATCAAGAATAGAATCACAGAATCATT